TCCTTTAGAAGTTAAAATATTTATTGAATTATTTAAAGAAGTTAGTCGACTGTTGTACATATAATGGGTGATAAATAACAAGGACGCAGTCTTTTAAAAAAAAAAAAATATTTTTTAATTTATGCCAACGTTTCAGCCCAAACATGTGGGTCATCTTCTGTGCTCTAGCCAGGCCCAACCTGGTTTTAACTTAACCAACTGGTTAACATTTTTTTTTAACAAACTGCGACTTGATTATTAATCAACCATAAAATATTTGTTGTACAGTAGATATCATTTAGGAAAAAAAATTAATGCTTTTTGAAATTTTACGTAAATCTAATTCAAAACTGTTTTAGAGTTATTAAATAAAAAGTCATGGGTGATAAATATCCAGGACGCAGTCTTTTTTAATTTTTTTTATTTTTGCCAACGTTTCAACTCAAACATGTGGGTCATCTTCAGGGCGTGGTTTGAGCACTGAGGTTGTTCATGTACTCAATGTACATGAGTGTACATTCGTTCATGTACTCAATGTTCATGTACTTCATGTACATGAACAACCTCAGTGCTCAAACCACGCCCTGAAGATGACCCACATGTTTGGGTTGAAACGTTGGCATAAATAAAAAAAATTTAAAAAAGACTGCGTCCTGAATATTTATCACCCATGATATGTAGAACAGTCGACTAACTTCCTTCAATAAATAAAAACTCATATTTTCCTGGAAGTTGTAATTTCGAAAAATATTTATTAATTGAATTTTATTATTTTCAAGCTTCGAAGGTGTAAGAAAATATTGCTTTATACTTTTTTTTTTTAAATTTAAATTTATAAACTATACCTACTACTATAATAATGAATAAAAATTATTTATTAGAACGCTAATAAAAAGTTAAATCTGCTCGTTTAAGTTATTTTTTTATTATTGAGTTATTAATATTTATCTGTTATAAAAGTGGTGTTGTTAACAAATTGAATTTTGATAAAATCGATTCATCATATATCAGTATCGATATACAAACCCTTAGCTAGAGGTTTTGGGATCTGGGAGACCCCAGGGTTAAGGTTGAACTTCTCAACTGCGAAGCTCTTGGGGTTTTGCTATGAATAAATTTGAATATATTAGCGGACAGCGTGAGGTTAGCGACTCGTAGAGATAGCGCCACTGGTATTATCGAAGTGCCTAGGCCATAGGATGTGGTTTATTTCTCAGCTGATAACAACTTCGCTACCGTTCATAAAATTATCGCCATCTTTCCTTCCTGATTTCATTTTTTTTTTAACCTGTTCCTGTTAAATTAGAAACATTCCTCTTTTATATGTCTATTCATTAATAGACAAAGAGTGTATTCATTGTTTAACTTTATTTTAGATGAAATGTTTGTTGAAAAAGAGTTACCCTTTCATCATATTACGTTCATTCTATTATGATTATCTAATAGTTGTGTTACTATTTCTCAATGTTAATGATGATTATTGTAATGGTGTTATTTTGTTTCAAAATACCAATGAAGACTTAGAGATCATCATTAGCAATTTAAACACACAATTGGTGAAGCTACATACTTTATAATAAAGTTTATGTTTACTTAACAAGTAATTGGTTAGCTCCGCATGAAAATATTTCTTCATTTAAGCAATAACACCCAGTTATCTATAAATGTTCTAATATTTTTGTTATAATTGGAAAAAAATTAGCCGATTTTAAGGAAAAGGTTGCAGCGACATCTAAGGAATATACCCCTTTCTTAAATAATTAATGACAGTTTCGTACGACTTTTCGTCTTCGAGCTAGATGTTCACAATGTTCACAATTTAAATGTTCACATATTCACAGACTATTTTTCGGGACTTGATTATTTTTACTCAGGGTACCACAAAACGTGTATTTCCGTTGAAAAATTTTCTCGATAGCAATACTTAACCTTTACTATATGTTACATACATATATACGTAAGTGAAAGTAAAAATACTACTAAAATACTGAATATTTTAGGGCCGGTAATTGGATCCATAAACTATGGAAAAGTTTCACTTCATCGATGACATCCTTATCTCGATTGGGCGAAACAATATCTTTGATAAACTCGGCGCTGAGTTTAGAAACTTCCCAATTCAATCTGCTATAACATTTAGTAATCAATTTTTTGTTTGGCTTCGAGCATCTTCTTATATATTATTTTTTAATATTTCCTTTTTTTTATGGTTCCATCTCAATGAATCTAGACGTTATGAATGAATTCATAATTTGCCAATAACTCGAAAAGTACACAATTCTGGGTTATAGCGTTACGAAAATTTAGTATTTGTTGTATCCGCAAAGTTTCTGTTGCAGATGGGATTGAGAATTTAGGTTTTTGGGAATTGGCCCTTTTTCCTCTGATATAATAATGTTATAATAAAATGTTATAATAACAGTTTATAATGTTACAATTAATTGATTACACAATTACAATTGTGTAATGCAGGGCATCGCACCAGATTTTTTTTAAAGATGAAGTGCCACACGGCCTGTTAGATTTAACTATTCCTTCCTGAGAATTAGAGCCTTTTGTCTTTTTTCTTTCGCCCTCATCAGCTGTTTAATGCAATATTTAGAAGGTTTTGTAAATTTATGATAATCCAATTGCCGGAAAAAGCTAATATTTAAATTATAAGTCTAAGGATGAAACATAATGCTTAAACCGTGTCAAAGTGTAATACTATAAAGTGTAATGTATACTTATAGCTCATTAAATATATGCATTTAATACTGGAAAGGCATGAAGAAGAAACAAACCCTTTTATATGTCGAATATAGTTACGATAACAGCTTAATTTTCTGATTTTATAAAGAATTCATTATTCAAAGTTCTTAATTAGTTAAGGTTATGAAATATCATTTAATGACTTTATGCAATAAACCGACAAATTAGTTATTTAAATGATCTTCTTTTAGATAGATAGAAGATAGATAGAAAAATAACTTTATTCTGGGACACAGTTCCTTGAGAATAACAAAACAGAACAAAATTAAAAGATTACATCTGGCCAAAATAAAATCAATTGAAAAAAAGAAATAATGTAAAGAAAATATAAGGTAAACATTCTATATACAAAACAATTAATACTATGACAAGACAATTAAAGCTATTTGCACTGATAGACCAGTATACACTTTTAAGAAAATAATAAAGATTTTTTTTTATATTTGTTTATTTAGAAATATTACATTCTGTCACATCAAGGACATTTATAATAGTGTTCAGAGAGCACACTCACACTCTACTTACAATAATAAAAATAAATAATACATAAACTTAATAATAATAAATAAAATAAAATAAATGTATATAAACAAAAGAACTAACCTAATCATACACACTCGGGCTTGAGTGGAGGATCTGGCCATTGCCAAAACTCCAATAGATGCTTAATTACAGAAGGTCTCTGGGCCACTGTCGCTTCAACCTTCGAGGAGGATTGTAAGGTTGGGTGGTGCTGGATAGAGATTGTGCAAGGGGATTTGGACAATGGGTAAGGTTCTGGTGAAATTTGGAGAATTTTTCTTGAGTAAGGTCTAGGACAAATGGGATATTAAGGTCATGGTGTAGGATTTTGTTAGTTACATAGAACGGAGCATCAACTATTGTTCGAAGGACTTTAGATTGAAAGGATTGAATAAGTTTGTTGTTAGAAGCTTTTGCTGTCCCCCACAGTTCAAGTCCGTATGTCCAGATAAGTTTCAGTATTGTCTTGTAGATAAGTAATTTGTTTTCAATAGAAAGTTTGGATTTTCTGTTTAGTAGTCTGTATAGCTGGCCGTATCGTCGGTTGAGTTCTTGTCTTTTGAGTCTAGTATGTGGGTTCCAGGTTAGTCTTCGGTCTAAATGAAAGCCAAGATACCGGACTGTGTCTGAGTAAGGAAGCTGGATGGAATTAAAGTGTACTGGTGGACAGGAACTGCGTCGGGGTGTAAAGGTAATATGTTGGCATTTAGATTCATTAACTTTAATGCGCCAGTTATTACACCAGTGCTGAATCAAGGTGGCTTTGGAGATTTAAGGATACTATGTTGGAATCAGAGTTGGATGATAAGATTGCGATGTCGTCAGCGAATGTTGCAAGAAAAGTATCGGGATGAACAGGGATGTCAGCAGTAAAGAGGATGTAAGGCACGGGACCCAAGACGCTGCCTTGGGGAATACCGGCTTTAACGAAGTAGATATTGGAAAATTCTGTTCCACAGCGAACTCGGAAGGAGCGGTCAGAGAGGTAGGATCGGAGAACTAGGTACAAGGACTGAGGTATATTAAATTCTTCATTAAAATAAGCTTTGTGTTTCTGATGAGAAATCAGAAAGCTGAACCTGACAATATAATGTGCCTGATTAATATATAAATACACTATCATTTAAATGTTGATTAATGTATAAATACATCATCATCATTTCTTAACGTAACAATATTCCTAGCTAACTTAGCATTGATATTTGACGATGAATGACATGAAATAAATGTATGTTGTCAAATGGTTAGCAACTATCTGTTTTTGAGATAGGAATTGGAATAGGAGGGTTTTGAATGTGAATATGGATGGGGAATGTCGAATTTTGATAGTGAGGGGATTCCAGGAACTAACAGAGCGAGCAATAAAGGAGTTTTGGAATGAGGCAGATCTGTGAGAAATTTACAAAAAATTTCGAATTTGGGGTTTTTTCAATCTGGAGATTTAAACTTTGTCTATTTAATCATGTACTTCAAAACTCATAAATACCCATTTGCTTTCCATTTTAATCGTAAGATAACTTGAGCACAAAATCAATAAAAAAGGTGGCCTTCAAAAATATTGAGAAATTTGGCGTGACCTACCAAATTGTCAAAATAACGAGGTTATATTGGCCAAACGTCGGTCTGTACCACAGTATATATTATTTTTTGTTTTATTCATTTAAACAAATATTTTAATTTAATAACATTGCATCTATGGGCGAAAATAGTCTTTAGAAACTATTGAGTGTCCTGAATGACAGGTCCATTTAGGACTGAGTTAGCCGCCTCGTCCTGGTTAAAAACAGACCAATGGAAGCCATTGATGTCCTCGTTATTGTAAAGCGAGATTTGTTATGGGAGCACTTTAAGGATCTATTTGAGTGCCTGTTACTGGTGAGGATTGGCCGCCAATTCATTCCACCTGACAGGGCTGCCGTTGTAGCCGGAGCAATTATCCTTAAGGCAAGACCTTCTCCGCAGGATCCGGGACAATGAAGGCAATTCGTCCTGGCTAAAAGGGCCGGAAACACATGTGGAGATTCCTTTGAGCGCCTCGGGCTGCGTGTGGCCCTCCCAGGACCTTCCCTCCCCCTCCCGCAGGACCTTCGGGGAAAGGATATAATCCTGGAGGGCTGCGTTCTGGTTGACATCCTCTGTCATTTTGTCCCGTAGCCGCTTCTGTACTCTCCGGGTGATTGAGCCGTCCTTGCTCGCCGGGGTGGCGGAAGGGTTTGTGTTGGTCGAGTATCATTTGTTATCTCTCCATGGAGGAATTTATTGTTGTCATTGTATGGTGGAAGGAATGGAAAATAAGCCTTCTAAAACCGCACTCCTCTCTACAATAGAGTTTCTGTACTAAGAGATAGTTCATTCATAAACCAGACATTCCATTTGTAAAATGTTTCCTTATACCATACATTCTCTTAGTGTCCCGTAAGGAAATTTTTTATAGGAGTGGTAACAGATTTTAAGGCCTACAAAAGAGTTCTTATTAACAAGGGGCCAATTTTAAGCATAAAAGTAGCAAGCAATAAAAAAAAAAAAAAAAAAAAACGCTGCAAATTATTTCACAATGATTTATTATTTCCCATAAATTATACATCTAAAGTAACATTACCTTCCTAGTGACAAAAAAAAAAAAAAAATTGGTTCCAATTATTGGACTAAACATGTTTTTTTTTTTAATCATTAGTAAAATGCTAAAAAAAATTAGCATTACTTCAGTAACACATTAACAAATCAAAACAAAGGATATAACTTTGAAGTATTACATATAAAAAACATATAGAGACCATATCTTTGCTCCTAATTGTCCGATTATAACGATTTTTTTTTTAATTCCGTAAACTTTTAAATAACCATTCAATATCAACAAAAAAGTGTAAACTTTTTGAGTTATTCAGTATCTAAATTTAACCATTCCTCGTAACTTTTTTCCCAGCTTCTTTTCGTTGAAATATGTTAAATAGATAAATTTAAAGGGCTTCGAGAAAATGACTTTAGCGAAGTTTCATTGAAATCGGTACATTCGTTTAGCCGCTACAGTCTATATTTGTTCTAACTACTTTATTAATTAAATGTAAACATTATTAACATTCATATTGAATGTTGTCCAAAGTGAAGGTATGTCCGCAAACGCTTTGTTTAGGATGTGGGTAAGATAAAATGCTAATATGGCCTTTTATTCCTAACTGTATAAAAACTATTGGCAATATTAATATTATTTGGATTAATACTATTTGGAATTAGCATTGGGAACTCTCAATAACATTTATCAGTTTGTAAAAGGCTTTCGCAGAGTACTCATCATTATTCCATATAATTATGAGACATACCTTCAGAGGAATTTTTTTTTTCTTATTTTGAGGTCCTTAGTTCATATTTTCAGTATGGCCACTTAAGCCTGAAACACTGTTTATAATAAAAGTATGTTATTGTGAATTTAATCAAAGTCAAAAATATTACATATACTTCTAAATAGCTATTATACTTCAGACTATTTATCAATCAAGTGACCGCCGACTCTCGAGGGATATGTCAAACCAACCATTAGCGGATCCAGGATTTATTTTTTGGGGGGACCTCAGCCCGAAAGTTTTTTTTTTCCATAAAGATAACGATAATTACTTTGGAAAAAAAGAAAGAAACTAACTACCTATATGAAATGGTGTTTAAGTGATTCCTAAAGCCCTTTTAAATGTAATTACACGAACAATAATACTTTAACAGATATTTTTTTTATATTTTTTTCGATAAAGCATGGTTATATTTTACCATTTGGGGGGGGGACTCCAGCTCGAAAGCTCCTCCCCCCCGTAGATCCGCCCGTGAAACCAACTACATATTTTATTTACTTATTTAAACATGTAATATATAAGGTTAATTAAGTAAACATATAACAACGTAATATTAGCTTAAAGTTAAACGATCTAGTTAAAGCGACCCCAGAGCGGAGGTGGAGGCAATGTTAACAGTGCCTGACATATGGCGGCGCTAACGGTCAACACATGGCCCCGCGCCCCCTCCCCCCCGGTAATCTATGGAAAATAATTAACCAGAACTGCTTCTTGTCAGCTAGTCACTTCGGTTTTGGAATAACTTATACCGTAATAGTCAACATAAATTAACAAACAGAGATAAGAACTATAGGTAAAAAAAAAATCACAACACGAATCAAAACCTAAAAGCAACCACAAGTGACAATAAAAAAAAAATTTAATTACATTTTAATTAAAAATAGCAAATGTTTTAGTTATAAATTCTGAGAAAGTCCCATTAGCCCAGTCAAATTAGACATGTTACCTTGCAAAAGGTCAAGTAATTCCAATTTCTTTGTTATATTGTTAGGTTTGCAGTGATTCACTGCCAATGACTATAAAAAAAGTTTCTAACCCTTGAAAGCCTTATGGGTTCGCTGTAGTGCTCCAAAAACCATTGAAGTTTCTAAAGTTTTTTGGTTTACTCTAAATATTTCCTTTTTAAAGTGACATTGATAAAAAATGGTTATATTCAATCTAAAACAGTTTAAAATTATCTAACATTTTTGTACATAACAGTATTTTTCTAAACCCGAACTATCGGGCTTTCACAATTTACCCAATTCGATGTCTTCACAATATAGCTGTTTCGGCAAGCATTCTGTAACTCCATTTTAAATCTGGTCTAGGAAATTAGGAGGTTTCTCGTCAAAATAATGAGCCATTGACTGGAACGATAGACGGTAGTTCTAGTATTTATTTTAAAAAAGGTCAATGTTCCTATAAAAAAAAGAGGACGTACTGACCCAAAATGGCGTTAAAACATGGTAGATTTACGTTTTTGACTTGAATTAGTTTTTCGGCCACTGAAAGCTAAATAGTTAGATAGTAATAAAAAAGGAAAATATATTTGGCCTTGTTAATAAAAATACCAGTAAAATCAAGTTTTTCAATTCGTTCAAAAAGTTGAAAATCAACCGTCTTATGTAAATAAACTGCCAACAATAACAAAAATCGCCTTGAAATAAAACCTCTGGAGAATACATTTCACTTTTTAAAACACTTATTAATTTTTAAAATATTTGAAGCAGTTATTTAAAAAATAACTAATCGGCGTACAAGCGGCATTTACGTATAGGCGTCTATAGTCCACTGTCATTTCATTTAGTGCTCATAAATGGCATAGTTATAGTGCTATAATGATTATATTAATATTGGTTTTAACGAACAAATATTAATACAAAAATTGAATTGTAAATTTTTTTATTTTTACTTTTTTAAACTTTATTCGTTTTGAAAGCTCGATAGTTCGCTTCCTGTTGGGTTTAAAAAAAAAAAATGTAATGTAGAAAAATGTTAGATCATTTTAAGCTGTTTTAGATTGAATACAGCCATTCTTTATCCATGTCACTTTAAAAAGGAGATATTTAGAGTAAACCAATAAACTTAGAAATCTCAATGGTTTTTGGATCACAACAGCGAACCCATAACATCTGGAGAATACATTTCTCTTTTTAAAACACAGATTAATTTTTAAAATATTTGAAGCAGTTATTTAGAAAATAACTTTCAAGGGAGAAAACGTAGATTTTTTATAGTCACTGCAAACCTAACAATATAAAAAAGATATTTGTATTACCCGACCTTTTGGAAGTTAAACCCACTTTTTGGTGCTAATTTGACTGAGCTACATCACAAACTACAATAATTAAAAGTCACTCCCCATCTACCATCTTCGATTTTTAATGTCAGATCTTTCTAAAATATTTAGCTTACTAACTGTATATTATACTAGTCTGCGCTACAAACCCCTTTTTATCTAATTATTAAAAATCTGCTTGAAACTTCGTGAATGACTTGATCTTATAGTAACCTATATTTTTTTTTATCTACGAAGATTTACAGAAATAGAGCGTTTTATCATTCAATTAATTATTTTTTCATAGTTAAAGCAATAATACTAACGTTTCGGGACAATTTTCCCATCATCAGAACAATCCTTGTCTTCACTGAAACTTCCTTTTTTGATGTGGCACCATTTGTCTAAAATTCAAATATTTGTCACATTCATTTTATATTTTTTTGGTGTTACACATCTTTTCTTATTCATTGTTACACGAACCAACAACAGTTTCATTACTGTACTTTGTACCTGTCCTCTTATTTCTTATTATGGCTGTTTGTTGTGTTTTTTTGTCTATTGTTGTTTTTTAAATTTCAATATTGGATATTATGTCCGAATAGTGTGTACCTAAATGTTTTGTATCTGTTTCATAGTTTACTGTTCTATTATTGTTTTTTATTATATGTATGTCTTCCAGCAGTTTCCTATTGTTTGTTTTTGGTTCAATTGCTAATATTTGTGGGATTTTCAGGTCAAATATGTGTAGTGATTTAATACTATGGTTTGCTAGGACTGTTATGTTAACGTTTTTACTATTTTTGCAGTTTGATGTATGTTGTGATATTCTGGTTTTTAATTTTTTTGATGTTTCGCCTATATATATTTGTTGGCAATGTTGGCAGTCTAACTTATAAACAACATTTTTCTTGTCCAGTGTTTCTATTTTGCCTTTTGTGTTTGTCAAGTATTTACCTAATTTTTTGTCATTATATATGCCAAACTGAATTTCCGGTAGGTCATAGTTGATGAATACTTTTTTGATCTGTTTTGTAAGTTGTGGTATGATATGATGTAAGATGTGGTATGGTATGTTGTGATATTCCTAAGAAAATAAAAATAAGAAGATAATTAATTATTTTTATTAGGTACTAAAAATCTCAATTTGCTTTCCATTTGAATCGTGAGATAATTTGATCTCAAAATCGAGAATAAAGGAGACCTTTGCTGTGATATTAATGGCTTGATGAAATCTTTGAATTTGAACCATGATCCAACTGAATGGAGGCTATTCATAGAATATTCTAAGTTTAGTTTGAAAGCTGTATTATTTCATAGTGGGAACCTTCTTTCTTGTATTCCTGTCGGTCATAAAGTTCACATGAAAATATGACAGCCCTCTTGGACTCACTCAAATATCATTAACGCAAATGGAAAATCTGTAGTGATGTTAAAGTATTGCCATACTTTTAGGAATGTAACTGGAGCACACAGAACATTGTTGCTTCATGTGTATGTGGGGCAGTATAGATAGGGAAGAAATTACATTATATTAAAGGAGACTAATTTGCAAGAAATCTTAACTCTAGCCAAAAAAATGTTGCCAAGCCTCTTGTGGACCCAAAAGATATTCTACTGCCACACCTGGATATCTCAAGCTGGGTTTGATGAAAAATGTTGTCCAACGTATGAACCAAGGAGGACGGGAGTTTTAAGTACATAAGAGAGAAATTTCCGGAATTAAGTGATGCAAAAGTTAAGGAAGGCATTTTTCGAAGGAAGGCCCCAAATTCGAGTACTTGTGAAAAATCCTGCATTTGACCAAGTTTTTGAAGGGAAAGAAAAGGAAGCTTGGGAAGCCTTCAAGGGAGTTGCTCGTTGATATTTAGGCAACAAAGGAGATGATTTTGGAGCTGTTATTGATGAACATGGAGAAAGATTCCACCAGGACATTCCTGTTATGGAACAAAGATATCATGGCCATTGGAATGAAGCAATGCTTGCGGATCACTGTTGGTTTTTGTGTAGGGATGCTCTGGAACTCCCTTACAAGAGGCAAGCTAAAACACGACGATCTCATGATGCCACTGCATAATCTCTTCAGAGAGTCTGCAAGGTATTCTTCCAACAATTTAGAACTGAGGAATGTAACTACTGTCCCGGACATGACGTTAAACTGCGACCTGGGTGGACAGGACTCATAGCCATAGTGAAGGCAACCTGTCTAGGGGAAGGCAACCCCAAAATCAAACCACTGTCCTTGCAGTTTAAAAAAGGTTGATCGTAGGGCCAGCATCCCTTCATCGCTATAAAAAAATATTTCGCTTTCAAACCCAAAACAGAATGTAACTAATATTTTGAAAAATCAAATGCACTTTACATGTTGTTAGCATATATAATTAAAATGTATCTTTTTCTCTTGACCCGTTAATATGAAATACTTCCACCTAGTGTATATTACAGAAACTAGAGCTAAAAAAAATGTTTCATTGTCATATTTGTTTTTCTCAACCCAAAATTAATAAGAATTGACTCATGAAGTGCTGGAAACATTCAAAAGTTTTTTTGTTGCCCAGTGTTATCAATCCATTACGTCATTTACGATAAGTTGTGGCTGATGAAAAGTAGATTTTATTTGGAACTATATTTTTATTCAAGTGGCATGTTTTCTTGCGTCACAACGATAAAGCAGGAGTTGTTTATGATTTTATTTTTTCGCTAAAGGTCCAAACTTTTCCTTTTTCCTGTCGGTCAGTGTCAGCTGTTCCTGACCTGATAGATATATAAGCGGAAATGTACCTGTTGAGGGCGGATACTTTATGGTCCCTATTGTCCGATATTGGAAGGAGAGTTGGCTCCAGCTGGTGCCAGTTTTGTTTTTGTTCCTCAAAGCAAACTCTTTTCCCATTGAAGAAAAGCCAACTTCATGAATGAACTTACTTGAAGAGGAGACATTCATGAATGAACCGTTAAGAAAGGCTTTATTAGTTCCTCATTGAATCTAGGTATATGGACAATTCAACTAAACTGTTTGAGTTTAGAGATGGTTGCGTTGAATTATATTCGACTTTATCTTTACTGATTTTTTTATTTGTGTGATATTTACAACTGTATACAAAAAATACAGCTGGTAAATTCGCACATGGATATAATGACATGAAACACATGTTGAGAAACTACCCATTGGTAGCACTCTAATAATATGTCTATGAGTTCGCATAGTATAGTTGAGAAGATTTTATTTTTTAATTGTTTACATACTATTATTTAAATTGTTGTATATACTGTTTAAATCTTTATTAGGTTAGTTTTTGGCCAGATATGTATTTTTTCTTTTATAACTGTTCATTATTGTTATTCTAAGGGGACATCGTCTCAGAATAAAGTTTATTTTCTATTCTATTCTATTCGGCCAAAAACTATCTTCTTTTTTTCTATAAAATATGTATTTGCGCCTGTCAACTTATCGTTGACAATCAGCAAGTGTGGTGGCGATACATGATATAATGACATGACAGGCATAGGGAAGGAAAGTACTCAGCAGTACCTCCTCCCTAACTTGTTCCAATTACTTAAGTTGTCTAAGGAAGGAGATCTCTCATCCAACGCCTTTTTAGTCTCCTCCTCATAATCTGAGGTATGTCAGCTGTGGCCATGTTTCTTATAAGTCTGTTATTGTGTCCATTTAATTTTGTGTAAAATCGTTAATAAAGGGTCGTTATATGTTGGTCAATTTATGGAAAGTGGAGGTCAGTATGTAGAGTTTTGTTATTCACGTACCAAGATGCTTTTGTTATGAGTCGCAATAATTTTGATTGGAACGGTTGAAGTTTTTGTAGGTGTGTCTTTTTAGCGATGTAAGAACGCTTAAGTAAGTATGTATATGTATTCAGTTTCTGTTTTAATTTTAGTTTCGAAGGTTTGGCAAAAAGAGGGTAAAGTTGGCGAAAAATATCTTTTTTTTTTTAAACTTTTATTATGATATTTACAACTGTATTAGTATAAATACATCAAGTAAATTTGTACAGAGAAATATTATTACATGAAACACGCTTGTTGAGAAACTACCCACTGGTAGCACTCTAATAATTTGTCTACATGAGAAGATCACGAGACCATCTTCTTTTCAGACGCCTCGGAGGGTTATCAGGAATCGAAGAGGAAGCAAGGTTAGAAACAAGAGGATTCGGATGGTTATGAAGTTTATTATGGAAGGATAGGTATCTGGATTTGGCCAAATCGGAAACATATGGAACATTGAGGTCTTTATGGATTATTTTATTAGTGACAAAGTAAGGAGCATTGAGGATTTTACGAAGGATTTTGGATTGTAAGGATTGGATGCGAGAGAAATTCGATGGTTTAGTGGAGCCCCATAGCTCAACTCCGTAAGTCCAAATAGGTCTTATTATAGTCAAGTATATGAGTCTTTTGTAATTAAGGGGAAGTTTAGAGCGTTTGTCTAGTAAGTGTTGGAGTAGTCGGAAACGTCGAGCGGTTTCTTGTCGTTTCAGTCTGGTATGAGGATTAAAACTATCTTAAATATTGAAACTTCTTATTGGCATTTTCTTTCGATATCATAATAATATCGAATCTTATGCTTCGATACAATATCGTGCGATATGGAATGGAAAATATTGATATCGATGTTATCACAACACATCGCTGCTTGTACGTGGCGTTTTTTTGTCATCTGGAACCCTCGAAGATGCGTCAATATTGAGGTAAATCAAAATCACAGTATTTACTTCGAACCAATGGAAAAATAAAGACAGATTTCACAACAGAACAATAACAAAACATCTGGAAGCTTCCTTTGACCCGAACATTAGCGACGGGGAACATTCTCACAAGACCATAGCCTGTCACTAATTGTGCTCAGCGACCGGACGGTGCCATATGGGAGCATCCAATGGCGTAGCGCGCAGAGGTGGCGATAAAAGATGCATGAAGACGCACCAGATGCTATGCGGAAGTGAGGCTCCTGCCTCTGTGGGAATGCCGTCATGGGAACAATGCCACCTTCATCAGCTCCAGGCCTTCTGTATCTGGGTATTAATATTTATATATTACTCCTCCGATTGTGGTGGCATGCTTATCCTCCGGCAATGTTGCAGAAAGATTATTGATAATCTCGTGGGAAGACAATTAATATTATATTTTACGAAATACTAGGAGTTCTGTGAGAGCCAGCGTGTCTTTTATTTAAAAGTCAACATTTTTTTCAGGGATATATCTTTTAATTGTACTCATAAATCATAATTGTATCCCTGTTTGTAAGAAGTCTAACTAACTCAAAACCATCGCCCAAGACAGATATTGGTGGAAGAAGCGGCTAAAGATCTCCAAGATCTGTCAACCAAAAAATAAACTGATATGTTTGCTTTATAACACAAGATAAAAATGAAAACTTCAACAAGGCGAGATTAATGTTAAATATTTGTATCGATATAATAGGTCTCTTGGCCATTTTCTTCTTAATCTGCGTTGTTCAGGTAACAGGGAGCAGGACATAGAAAGAACCAGAGGATTGGAGTGATTTTTGGTTGAAGAATGAAATGTAGTGTATTTGTCGTGGATGTAGGATTTAAGTCGTTATGTATAGTATTATTTGAAATGTACCAAGGTGTGTAAATAATTTCGTAAAATTTTCGGTTGTGCTGTTTGTATTTTGTTTATGTGAATCCTAAAGTTCTGCTCTATATGTCCATACTGGTCTCAGTAAGGTGTTGTAGATAAGTCGATTGTTTCGTAAGTTAAGTGAAGATCTGTAGTCTGTCTGAAGATGTGAAAGTTGGCTATATCGTCTAGTTAGTCTTGAATTAGAAATATTATTTCTAAAAGGTGTTTTTTTGTCGCAACGCCATAACTTCGTCAATTGTTTATCGAATCCTATGATTGAATCCTCATTTTAAAACTCTTCTTCACCTTCACGTGAGAAAAAAAGTTATGTAGGAAAAGAAACTTTATTTGCAAATAACTCAAAAATTATGCATTTTTTTCTTGATTGTACCCATGATAATTAGAAAACTGAGCCGTATGAATGGTTTCTTGATTTAATGCCTACATAACGAATAATTAAAAAAAAACTCCTTATAGGTTTTTATCTCCATTTGTTGTTTGTTTACGAAGGTCCTGTTGATGGTATTTTGTGTAGTTTACGACCCTAAATTCCTGAAAATTTCTAGTACATTGCGAAAGTCGCAATATTTTTTGTGATTTTCGAAACAAAATCATGTGAGGAACTCAAGCATAAAGTCCTGAAACATAGCCGAGCTTGTGCAAATGGTTTTCTACGCTTGTGTGCGACACATTTAGGGCCATAGCAATCTCTCGCACTGATTGAGTGGGATTTTGATCAACATTGCTCGTTTTAATTTCATGTGGGCGACCAGACCGTTGAGCATCATTGTCAAAATTTCCAGAATGAAATTCGGTAAACCAATTTTGACAGGTGCGTTCGGTTAAGGCATCATCCCCATAAACACTGCAATTTTTTCTACGGGCTTCTGCAGCAAGCTTACCTTTTTTAAAATAATACAACAAAATGTGCCGATAATGAATATTTTCTTCCATATTCACAGTAGGAAAGACAATACTAAGCTAGTTTCAACAAGAGTTAACATATATAGTTGTTGATATGTTACAGGAAAAATATTTCCAACTTAAGAATTAATTCATCAGATAAGAGTTGTATCATAGTGGCATAAAAATAAACAAGAAAAGCGAATGGACTTATTTGCCATCCAATATTTCCATACCCTTGTTACGGACTTTTAATTTAGAAAAATTGTTTCCGCAACAATCTTGCCGGATGCTGAGTGGAGACGGTAGGGTTCTCAAAATAAAAAAAAAAATATAATCAAGTGTCAATTATATATTAATAACTGTTGAATTTGGAAAATAGCGAAAACCATAAAAAAATAAAAATAAATAAATTTAATTAAAAAAAAAAAGATTTCGACGAGGAGTGAGCTACGAACTCGGAACCTATGGGTTTAAAAACATATGTTAATTAACGTAACAGCCTATCGAACCTTCTTACTTGGTTAATAATGGCTTTCTCTAATCCCTCGAATAGGGTTTTACTGTTCCTTATTAAACTTAAAAAAAAAACAAAAGACTATAATATAGATAAAACGTGAAAACAACCAGAAGAGGAATAAGAAAATGAAACTGGCTATTATTAGTACTAATGATAAATTTACTTATTTCTATTGATTTAAATAATTGTTAAAGGAAATGAAAATTATGAACAAGATATTAGATTTATAAGAAAACAAAGAAAATACAATTAACTTTAATTATAAAAAAAAAAAAATATAAAATTATCATAGAACAAAACATTAACTTAGACTATACAGTTAATCAATTACAAATATTTAAAAAATATATATATAGGAAATAAAAACTTACATATATATTTACAAAATCTGAATGCCGAACTTTGTCCAATTGGCACATTGAGTTATCTGAGGAAGCGGGAACTTATTCCAACTAGCGTCGTCAGTGTCTCTCCAGTCCACCTCTTTAAACTGTGGAAATGTTTTCATTCACCAACTTGTAAAATCGAACGGCACTCTTCGTTGAAAATCACAGGAGAGGAAAAGAAAAATCTGGTATACACTATATAACTAAATTATTTCATACACAAAAAATAAGCGTGCCTCTACACTCGCGAAGTTCCGCCATCTCTCTCTAAACTGGCTTTTGTTTTTCTCCCAATCATCTGTTGGTAATAAAACTAGTTCTTATTATAAAATAATACTTATTATTAAAACTAATAATAATTACTTTTTTTTTTATTTCTTTATGACATTTACAACTGTATTACATAAATACATCAAGTAAATTTGGACATAATTGATATAATGACATGAATACACTTGCTGAGTAACTACCCAATGGTAGCACTCTAATGATATGACTACATTAGGAGATCACGGGGCCATCTTCTTTTCAGACGCCTCGGAGGGTTATCAGGAATTGAAGAGGAAGCAAGGCTAGAAACGAGAAGGTTGGGATGATTCTGAAGTTTATTATGGAAGGATAGGTATCTGGATTGGGCCAGATCTGAAACATAAGGAACATTAAGATCTTTATGGATAATTTTATTAGTGACAAAGTAAGGAGCATTGAGGATTTTACGAAGGATTTTGGATTGTAAGGATTGGATGCGAGAGGAATTCGATGGTTTAGTGGAGCCCCATAGCTCAACTCCGTAAGTCCAAATAGGTCTTATTATAGTCAAGTATATGAGTCTTTTGTAATTAATGGGAATTTTAGAGCGTTTGTCTAGTAAGTGCTGAAGTAATCGGAAACGTCGAGCAGTTTCTCGTCGTTTCAGTCTAGTATGAGGATTCCAAATTAATCGTTTGTCCAGGTGGAGTCCTAGGTATCGGATTTGCTCAACAGGGATAAGTAACTGTAGGACAGGAAGTCGTTGGTTTACGACAATAATAATTACTTAATTTATTTTTAGCTAACCCTCTTTGAGGTAAAACTAACAATTATTTTACGAACTAATTTTGTTTTTCGTCACAAGTTGTTGAAATATTACAAACAGGATAACCAATCCATCTTAAGAATTAATTCATCAGATAAGAATAGTATCACAGACACATAAAAATAAACAGAAACACCGGAAGGACTTATTTGCCAATCCTATATTTCCATACCCTTCAATGTTGTATAGAACAACTGGGAAGAACGAAGGTGAAAATCTGAACAATATTCGCCCGTCCTGGTTGTGCTGTTTAATACAATCAGCCATCCCGTTGCCGAGAGGCTATTAGAAGTTTTATAGCACCTGCTAATAAAATGGAAATGTGACTAATAAAATTCTATTTTACTGTCGACTGCTCACGTAACGTAATAAAAAGCCTCTCTTAGGTACCGGCCTGTTTGGCGGGAACTAATGCGACAGTACACTCTACCTGCTGTCGTATACTCCGTGCAAGTGCTTAAGCACCTTATAATGGCATATAGAATAGAATAGAATAGAAAAATAATTTTATTCTGAGACGAAGTCCCTTCAGAATAACAAAAAAGTACAAAAATTAAAATTTTACATCTGGCCAGATAAAAACAAACATAACAAATTAAGATTAAGATAGGTCATTAAAAAAAAGAAAAGAAAAAAATATTGGTTATACATACTATATACAAAATAAAATAAAAAAATCTATATAAAAAACTCTTGAAACCATACTAAGATACTTAAAACTATGTACAATGTTTTTTTTTTTTGTTTTTTTTATTTATTTCAATGGAATTTACAACTGTATTACATAGAGAATACAATAAGTAAATGAGAAATTTGTAACATGGCATGTACAACATGAAGAGAAACTACCCATTGGTAGAACTCAAATTAAAGTTCTATATTAGAAGATCCCGAGGCCATCTTCTTTTCAGACGCCTCGGAGGATTATCAGGGATCGAGGATGAAGCAAGGTTTGAAACGAGAGGATTCGGATGATTCTGCAGTTTGTTATGGAAGGAAAGGTATCTGGATTGGGCCAGATCGGAAACATATGGAACATTAAGGTCTTTATGGATGATTTTATTTGTGACAAAGTAAGGAGCGTTGAGGATTTTACGAAGGATTTTGGATTGTAAGGATTGGATACGAGAGGAATTCGATGGTTTAGTGGAGCCCCAAAGCTCAATTCCGTAAGTCCAAACAGGTCTTATTATTGTCATATATACGAGTCGTTTATAATTGATTGAAAGCTTAGATCATTTGTCTAGTAAGTGCTGCAGTAGTTGAAAACGTCGGGCGGTTTCTAGTCGTTTCAGTCTGGTATGGGGGTTCCAAGTGAGTCGTTTGTCAAGGTGGAGTCCTAAGTAGCGGATTTGCTCAACAGGAATAAGTGGAGTATTATTGAAGGACACTGTAGGACAAGAGGTCATAGGTTTACGATGGAGGGTAAAAGTGATTTGATGGGATTTGTTGGAATTTATTTTTATTCTCCAATTTTTACACCATTCTTCAAGGCTTGTGATATGTGATTGAAGAGTTTGGGATGCAATTAAAGGATCGTTATTAACTGATAGGATACACGTGTCATCGGCATAGGTGGTGATGACAGTGTTGGATTGGGTTGGGATGTCAGCTGTATAAACTGTGTAAAGGATAGGACCTAGGATACTACCTTGAGGAACACCGGCAGACTGAGTAAAAAGAGATGAATAAGCATTGTTATGATTGACTTTGAAGTATCTGTCAGTAAGGTAGGAACGTATAATGAGGAAGTATGTAGGTGGTAGGAATTCACGGAGTTTGTACATCAGTCCCGGATGCCAGACTCTATCAAACGCCTGATGTACAATGTTAAAATATAAATAAACCCTTTTAGAAAAAATAAATGTATATTCTTCTTAACAGTAAAATCTGTTTCTGTTGAAAAAGAAGAAAAAAAAAAAAAAGAAAGTCGAATCTATAATAAGTATTCAGGTCATGAGCTGTATGTGAATATGTTCTTATAGATAATATGTAATTTTACATAAAAGGTTAGCTGGTGTCTGACTGTTTTTGAGACAGGAATTGGAATAGGAGGGTTTTGAATGTAGATAAGGATGAAGAATGTCGAATTTTGATAGGAAGGGAATTCCAGAAACTAACAGAACGTGCAATAAAGGAGTTTTGGAACGAGGCAACAGATCTGTGAGAAGGAATGTAAAGGTCGGAAGGTCGAGATCTTGTGGAGAGGGAGTTGACTGAGGACTTGAATCGGAGAAGGTTGTAGGCGTAGGATGGACGATGATTGTTGATGATATGATAGAGGAATGTACCTAGGAAATATTGTCTTCGAATGGAGGGGAAGAGCCACTCTAACTCAGTGTAGTGGTGAGAGACATGGTAGTATCTCGGGGTACCAATTACAAATCTCAAACAACTGTTCATTATTCTTTTCAGTCTGTCGCGGAGCTCCACCGAGAGTCCATCATACACCACACAGCAGTAGTCAAAGTGGGGGAAGATGAGAGAGGAAACGAGGAGTCTACGGGTATGTTGAGGTAGGAGATGGCGGAAGCGATGGAATAGTTTGATGGTAGAAACTGTCCGTCGGGGGATGTGAGAAATATGGTGACTCCAGGAGAGGGTTTGATCAATAAATAGTCCTAAATTTTTTACAGAGGAGTAGAAGGTAGTATACTACTGCTGTTATTGCATTACTAGGATTGAATATATATAATTTAATGATAGCAATGGTATATCATTTATACCTTTAGAAAACAACTTTATTATTCATAAAGTATAAAATTTTGATAGATAGATAGATAGTTTATTGGCTATTATGTACATCATTGAGCCATGGAGTTTGGCCCATTTGGTGTTAGTAGTTGTTAGTATTGAATGGCAATGAAAGCATAAATAAATAATGATATAAATACGTATACA